GATTTCTGTCATATGATAGTCATAAAACTTTGTCTACATTAGAAATTTAAACACATGCTGTGACTCCTAAATACTTCCAGTTTCCAGTCCTGTCTTTTGTGAATTAAGTTGGTTAAGTTGGTTAGAGTTGTAAGTCTGTCCCCATATCACTGTCCTGGGATAGTTTAATATAACCAGAAGGATACTAAACTGTCTGCTACACATTGTTGTTTTCTCAGCTTTAAACTCTTAAATGTATTATATTTTTATGATATATTATGTTGCTGTTTAATATGGGAGGGAAATCAAGCCAAAAAATATATTATAATTTAAACAATAAAATGTAAATGCAAACCGCTTTTTGCCATTTCTTTTCCCAAAATCTGCACAAATATGCTGCCAAAAATGAAAATGAAATGAAATACCTACATTTGCAAATTTAATTTTCTCACATAAGCATGAGTCATTTGTGAAAAAAATAAAAAATGAATTTAAAACAGCTATTCGTGGTATAATTTTTGGGACAAATGAAACTGTTTCTAATATTCCTGCGCCGATGGTTAAATCTCAGTGTTTTATTCCACTTCAACATGAAGTTAATAAGCTGCTGATTTAACAGATGAGATGTCTGTCCGGTTCTTATATATTCTGACTTCATTCTGACAAAAGAAAATAAAAGGGACTCTGCTGAGTGTTTTACAAAACACCACCACTCATTGGCTGAGTGCCTGAAACAGAACTCGTTTTCTCTTTTTTTCTTGAACAGTAGGATTTTCCTCTCATCCTAAATGGGAGTGTTTGTGAGAAGAACAGACTGCAGTCCGCCTGGCTTTTATTAGGAACCCCTGTTTCTTTTTTAGAGCATTTTAGTTAATCACCCATAAAAACACTGAACTTAGTTCATCAGTGTTTTTCTGATTCTGTGTTTTTGTTTTCATTTGTATTATTTAAAAACGTTTCTTTCATTTATTTATTTATTTATTTATTTATTTACTGGCGCGCGTTGCAATGGAACTTGGGTACTCCGTCTATGACGTCACCCCGCGCCAAGCTCGATTGTGACGTCACGCCGTATAAAAGGCGCTGTCAGTCCGGTGTTCGGTCATTAGCCCATTGGACACGTTAGGAGGAGGTTCCTCTGTGAGCTAAAGTGAGAATGAGCACCATGAAGAAACACTCGGAGAACGTGAGTTCTTTTTACCTTCTTTTCTCCGTCCTTCTCATTTAACACAGAAATGAAATTCATATTTCAATACTAATAATTCATCATAATGTTATGTTAACATTATATTATAAAAAACAAAACAAATATTATAAATTATATTTAAGTGGTCACAATGAGGAAGAATATATTGACCCTCATAACATATATATATATATATATATATATATATATATATATATATATATATATATATATATATATATGTATTTAAAATGAACAATTTACTCTCATGAGCTACAATTATGGTATGAGTTTTCATGATGATGCTGATTATTATAATGATAATGATGACTAATATTATGATGATGATGACTGGTTATTAATATTAATAATGATTAACTGGTCAAAACGAGGAGGAATATTGACCCTCATATCTAATAACTCACACTCACACATTTAAACTGAGTACTCTTATGAGCTACTATTAGTGATATGAGTTTTGATTGTGATGCTGGTTATTATAATGATAATGCTGATTATTATAATAGCAATGATGATAACTGTTATTAATATTAATAATAATGAGTCATGATTACCTGGTCAAAACGAGGAGGAATATTGACCCACATCTCATAACTCATAGATTTAAAATAATACAGTATAATGTGATTCTCTAGTGATATAAACCTCATCTAAACAGATGCAGGTGATCTCAGTATGTTTCTACAACACTGTGTGGAATATAAAGTCTGCAGGTAATTTAGTTCATTACTGTTTTACCATATTCAATCAAAAAAACATGTAATTTGGCCAGAAATAAACTTTTGCAGATGACTGTATATCCTGGAGAAAAGTTTCTATGACTGTGTAACTGAAATTGTGACAGTTTGGAGAATAAAATATGGCCTGAGAATAGTTGTTATTAATGCTATGAATGTTGTAATTGGCTGATATATAATATTAACTGTGGGAAAAATTCAGAGCCTTTGATTCATTGTTATGACTCCAATAAGAAAAACTTCCAATAAGAACTTGGCAAGAACTACTAACTGATGCACTCATTCATATTTGTGTCAACTGTAAAATAATCAACAACCAGTCTGCTCATGTGAAAATTTGCATTTGTGCATCTTCAAGAAAATTAAAACAAATCTAATTAAAGATTCTGTGCAATTCCAGTGAAAGTACAACATAAATGCCTTCACTTTCTTATTCATTCCTTTTTTATATATTTAAACAGATCACACTGGAGAAGTTCAACGATGTGCTGGATAAAATCTCTGTCTGGGTGAAAGCAGCTGTGAAGGAGGTGTTTGTTCCAGCTTTACAGCCGAGCATGGAGCAGAACCTCTTCTCCTCAGAAATGCCCTCAATCTCCAGAAGCCCCAGTGGAGTGGAGCGCGGAGAGACCAGCACTTCTCCCTCTGGGAGGATCTCCCAAAGACTGAGAGATGTTTTCAGCAGTGCCTTTGCTGGAAGCCCCTGCTGTCTTCCTTTAATGCCTGCTTCTCCATTCAGGTATGTTGACACTCAGACTTCACTGTGGCTGTTAGTGTTGCTCTAAAGAGCTGTGAACCTGAGACACTAACATAAATACACATCATGAAGTAATCTTATATTACAGCACTAAAATGATCAGCGTTTAACAACTAGAAGTTGTTGCTTGATAGCTTTCTGATATAAACAAGCTCAAGGTTCCCTCACCCCCTCTCTAGTTTTGTGGTAAATAGGTTAATTTTAATACCTGTTTTGTCTCTCTTTTCAAGGAGCAGCAGGAAACCCCTGCAGAATGAAACCATTAAGCCACTGATGGAGCTGCGAAGTGAACTGGAATTCATGTCCACGGCAAAGTGCAGTGATTTAAGCACAGCGCCCCCTTGTGAGCCTCTCAGAACCCTGTTTGGCATCACGAAGGAGAGCATTTTCCAGAATGTCCACAGAGAGCTCACCAATTCTCTGTGTAATATGATACTACCGCGCATGACGGACACTGCGAGAATGAAAAAAACTTTCAAGCTCGCCTGCACTATTCTGGATTATTCGCTGGTGCAGGTAAGTCACTGTAACTTTCAATTTGTTACATATTTTAGTTTAAATTTGATGCATATACATAATCGGGACTGCAGTTGAAAATTACCCAATTTTCTAAGAGTATTTTCTAAGAGTAGACCACTTTGCTACAGGGTAATTGATGTGCATTTCCTCAGACAGACAGACAGACAGATAGATAGATAGATAGATAGGTCACTGTGTGAGAAAAAAGTTTCACCGTGTTTTTCCTTCCATATATTTTATGGGGTTAATGGCTCTTTCCTTCTCTCTTTGTTCCACTAGCTGAACTCAGCTCTCGCTGAGGTGCATGATCATGCTGACTCCCATCAAGTGTCACTTTTGATTGCGAACACCA